AAAAAAAAGGTCGAGAAGGGAGAGGGTTGACATGTTGTGGCGTTGTTAACCAGTGTCATAAAACAATATGTGTACTACTGTTTCATGAGAAACTATTTGTTCTGTAAGCCATCACCTGAAGTACAATAAAAAGAAACAGAAAAAAGAAAATTAAAAAAAAAATTACATTGTTAAAGAAAAATAATTATTAAACAAATGTTGTCGTTAGGTGCCATCGAGTTGGTTCCTACTCATAACAACCCTATAGAACAGAGCAGAACTGCCCCATAGTGTTTCCAAGGAGTGGTTGGTGGTTTTGAACTGCTGACCTTTTGGTTAGCAGCCATCATACCTCTTAACCACTGCACTATCAGGGCTCCAAGCACTAGGCAACAAAAACTGTACCACGTTTTTAAATTCTCATTTGGTAACACATGAATAATCCTGTCCTTTTCAAATTAAAGATTACCTAAATAACTGACGGCACATTTTCAAACAGGAAAAATGGTGACAAAATAAACTAGAATGATTCTGAGCCTGTTAAATATTTTATTTTGAAAGTGAGTTTTTGTGCTCCCAATTTATAAAATCAACTGATTACACCAAATCAGTATTGTTTGGTTCTCATTACTTAATGATTTAACTAAGAAGTCGATAAGGACTTCTGCTTCTGGCCAAGATAGATTAATAGGGACCAGATTTACCCACCTGCTTATCAAGCCATCAAAGACAGTGGGCCCTGAAGAGAAGGAAACATGCAAGGTAAACTCTGAGATAGCTGGGCATGCGGCCTTGACAGAGTTTCCAGGCCCATGCACAGGGAGGGGAACTGAGGCAGAGCCCAGCAGACCCTGTGAGCAGAGGAGACAAAACTGAGAGTCTGGGGAGAGCAAGGAAACAAGAGTTCGTAGGACAAGAAACAAGAGTTCATAGGACAGGATACCAGAGAGGAGAGCGCTGCACAGAGAGAAAGCTCCCGAGATCTTTTGAGGGTTCCTTGAATATTCAGCTGAGCAATGATCAGTATAAGAATGCGAGGAAAATATCTGAGCCAGGGACAGAACTCCTGAAGGAGTTAGAGGTAACAGTGCCTGGTGCTCACACAGAGACAGAAATAGTGTCTGTACCCACCAGCCAACTGGAAAGCCTCAAGGTACATGGGCCAATGGATAGGGTACACAGAAAGATCTTGCCTCAGTAAAATCAAACCACACCTATTGCTGGTAAGTTGCTTTCAACTCATAGTGACAGTATAGAACAGAGTAGACTGCTTCATATGGTTTCCAAGGCTATAATCTTTATGGAAGCAAACTACATCTTTCTCCCACCGAACCGCCTGTTGGTTCAGATCACCGACCTTTTGGTTAGCAGCCAAGCACTTAACCACTGTGCCTCCAGGATTCCTCTTGCCTAAGTAGTGGGGAAAAATTATTGTTGTTAGGTGCTGTCAAATAGATTTTTGACTCATAGAGGCCCATGTGAAAGAGTAGAACTGTCCGACAGGGTTTTCTTGGCTGTAATCTTTATGGAAGCAGATTGCCAGGTGTTTCTCCTGAGGAGAGGCTGGGTAGGTTCAAACTGCCAATTTTTCAGTTACCACCACCCAGGCTCCTAGGAAACAATTAGTCCTAGAGAAAACACTACTTCAAGTCCCACCTTAAAGGCAATATCCAAAAGGATCAAATTGTTCCCAAGTAGTTTGTCCCTGATCTAAGCTCAATGGTATTTATAATAATAAAAAAATTCCACCACCCAACTAGGTAAAAAGATGGAGTAGTAGTGGTGATGATTTATGTTTTAATTCCTCCTTCCTATCTTTTATTCAGGAGCCCTGGTGGTGCAATGGTTAAGCGCTCAGCTGTTAACCAAAAGGTTGCGTTTCGAACCAGGGCTTCGAACTGGCTCAAACTGGTTGAATCGTGGCTGTCGAAGCGAAATTGGAACAGACACATTTTTTTTTTTATTGTGCTTTAAATGAAAATTTACAATTCAAGTTAGTTTCTCATACAAAAATTTATACATACATTGTTTTGTGACCCTAGTTGCTCTCCCTATACTGTGACAGCACACTCCTTTTCACCCCGGAATTCACATATCCATTCAACCAGCTCCTGACCCTCTCTGCCCTCATGTATCTACTTCAGCTAAGAAGCACACTCTTCACAAGTATCATTTTATGTCCCATAGTCCAGTCTAATCTTTGTCTGAAGAGTTGGCCTTGGGAATGGTTTTAGTTTTGGGCTAACAGAGAGTCCAGGGGCATGTCTTCTGGGGTCCCTCCAATCTCTATCAAACCATTAAGTCTGGTCTTTTTACTAGAATTTGAGTTCTGCACCCCACTCTTCTCCTGCTCCATCAGAGACTCTCTGTTGTGTTCCCTGTCAGGGTGGTCATTGCTGAATTTAAAAAAGTTTGGTTAACCCAAATGATAACTGGAATGGGAAAAATTACGGGTTGTTTTCGACTCATAGTGACACATATGACAGAGTAGAACTGCCCCATAGGATTTCCTAGGCTTTAATCTTCACTGGAAGGAGCCCTGGTGGTGCAATGGATAAGCTCTCAGCTACTAACCAAAAGGTTGGCTCACCAGCCGCTCTGTGGGAGAAAAGGCCTAGTGATCTGCTCCCTTAAAGATTACAGCCTATGAAACTTTATGGGGCAGTTCTACTCTGTCATATAGGGTCGCTATGAGTCAGAATTGACTCGACAGCGCAAAACACCAACAATTTTTATGGGAACAGATTGCTA